TCCTATCTCTATTTCCAATGCAATCCGAAAGCGGTAAATTCAATAACTCAAACAATGAGCCAAATTAATCGCAACCATTTTTCTTCCACGTTTCTGAACATCCGAAATCCGATAGAAATCAAATTTCCCATTCCTCCCGAGCACGCTAACAGCGTCGATCATCAACGCAAAACGTGAACGGCATTCGGAAATTTCCGCCGGTGGAACTGATTCTAAACGCTGCTGCCTCGGTCCCGGGTTCCCCTGGACTGAAAAACACGTCCTCGTTGGACGGCGCTGTCTCAGTGCCAAAGGGCGCATCTTTCTTTCATCGCGTCGTCACACGGTGTTAAACAAGATTCAATAATAGAACAAATTAGATTCCTTCTCCGCTTCCGGTTTCCTTTCCGTCGTCGTCGTCGTCGTCGTCGTCGTCGTCGTCGTCGTCGTCGTCGTTGCCCGCCTGTTGCTTCGAGCAAAATTGGACTCCGCTGCGAACGTGATTTTTGCAATGAAAGTTCGACTCATTTTCGGTGGAAAATTGATTTAAAATGTACTCCGATCGCATTTAACTACCTATTTGCTGCATCCTGAAAGGACGTTAAAGATTTATGTGGGAAAATCTTCCACTCCGATGACCTTGCATTGTTTTCATAGCTACACTGGAGTCGCTTTTTACGCGGTTTTTTTTTTACACGGTTTTTTTTTACGCGGTTTTTTTTTACGCGGATTTCGGAATTTACGCGGTTTTTTTTTACGCGGATTCCGGAATTTACGCGGTTTTTTTTTACGCGGATTTTGGTTTTTTTTTACGCGGATTTCAGAATTTACGCGGTATATCGCTTTTTACGCGGTTTTTTCTTCCACGGTTTTTTTTTTACTCGGTTTTTTTTTACGCGGATTTCGGAATTTACGCGGTTTTTTTACGCGGATTCCGGAATTTACGCGGTTTTTTTTTACGCGGTTTTTTTTTACGCGGTTTTTTTTTACGCGGGACGTATCACCCGCGTAAAAAGCGACTCCAGTGTATTTGCAGACATGCAGGCAAACCCTGGAGAACACAGTCTGTCATTATCGTGCATTCTTCCCAAGGCTTATTTTGCCATGCCTTAGCATAGCATTTTCCCTCCCATACACACACATGATGATGTTCTACGATGCTGCTACATCTTCGATGATAACAACAATAATGCTAATAATGATAGTAGTGTTCCTGGCTGTCATGTCTGGAAAATCGTTCAAATTTCATAGCATGTTGTGTCCCATTCCCGGGATGCAATCTGACATCATCATCTTCATTTTGTCTATACATATACTCTGGAAGGGTTGGAAAGCATCGTTCTAAATTTTTAAGATACCCACTGTCTTCCCCAGGAATGCTGTCAAAGCTGAAACTTTTGCTCCGTAAGTTCCGGAACCTGCTTGAGAAACTAGTCATTTGGTTGTTTTCTCTTCTTTCCGAAGAGCGCTGCGGCTGCTGCCGTCGCTATGGAAATTTCGAAAGCAACTCTGAATAATTAACAAACCGCAGGAAGTGGGACTGCATTTTTATAAAATTTTCAAACAGGCCTTACTTTTCGTTGACTGTTTCTTGGTCCGTGCAAAAGGCACTGCTAATCCCTATGCAAATTTTTTCCGGAAGACAGGAATTAAGTGACCGCACTTGTTTCATAAATAAAAAGTCCGGTTTAGGATTTTGCAGCTGGAAAAATGAATTGAATTCTTTGCGCAACTTTACAGTTGTTAATTGAGAGCCTTCTCAGCAGTTCCGTATTCGAACGTTCTTTACCTAAACCGCGCTTTTGCTCACTAGGCTAGCGGAAGTCCGAGATCGTTGGAATTTTTCTGAGGCAATCCAACCTCTGGTAACGTCTTCCTTCCGAAGTAAAGCCGTTGGTACCGTCCAATGTGTTGATGATGGGTTCGGTAGGTTCCAGGTGTGGCAGTCGTCTCTCGATTGCCGTTAATGATTAATCACACTTTTAAAGCAGGACTACGTCTTTCGGGAAGGGCGCCATTTCAGGGAAATGCAACGAAAATCGGTCAGACTTTATTTGCTAATAACTTGGCCAATAATCAATGGATTTTGATGATTTGTGTGTCGATCGATTCACCAGTGTTATAATATTTGTGTGGTATGTCACACATTATAATTGTTAAATATTTAAATAGTTAACAATGAAGAAATATGGAAATGGACCACAAGGTGCTTAACCCTAACACAGCCATCAGAAAGTTGATCCCTAATGACACAGGGACGTTGCACGTTGGATGGATCGACCGCGGACTTGTTCGCTGCAGCGTAAACATCGCAGCATTCCTAGGAGCTCAATACATACAACTCACACCAATGCAAAAACAACCAGACGCAGACGCAAATCGGTCGAGAGAAATGGATAAGCTGCACTTACCGTCTTGAGATTCTGTTACACTTATCAATATATTGATAAAAAAATTAGGAGATAAGGGAAATGTCTCTAATGTTCGCCTATGGATCTAAGATAGGACCCATCGCTAAAAATCTGCTATTTATCAATTTTATCTAGATGCACGCGTTATTGGGACGTTACTAATTGATATTTTTGGTTGCTATTGAAAATTTAGTCGATTGCTGAATTTATGTATGGGCCCAAATTAGGGACACTTAGGCCAACATTACCTGCATTTCCCCTATATTGTCAAAAATATAATGGCATAAATTGAAGCTGTTATTATTATTACCAATCTGCAAACATTGAAGAACTTGATTGTTTTTAACTAGTTCGTTTATTTAGGTAGGCTCAGTTGTGTGTGACACTTTGCGGAGCCAAAAATCCGTATTTTTTTTAATTAACATTTTAAACAGCAGTAAATCTAGGTTAGTATTGGGTACCAATTACTAGTGGCGGGCTCGAGGTTAATGGGTTACAATTTCGATTGAAATGAGCTAGGAGGCAACAGGTTTCTGAAGCCAATACTTTCGAACGGTTGACCAAATTCTGGCTGGGCAGGGGCAAGTAGCACAGAAACAGGTGGATAATAAGACTGGGACACAATGGCTGGAAAATGTGCGGAAAGGAGGGGATGGTCACGTCAAACTCTAACATAAGACAAACAAAGGAATTCGTAGATCGCTTGGGAAGATCACGGGTTCCCAATACATCTCTTACTTCACGGAAGGGTTGTCTACCTCGGGCCAATAGGGTATCCAATAGTCGTGCTCAGGAGCCGTCATTACCCGGGCAATGCCAACCTGCGTGATCGATGTCATCATAACCGGTTCTGCACCTACATATATTGCTGTCAACGAGGTTTATTCTGTAGAGATGTGCGTTTAACGAGTAGTGGTTGGAAATAAGTCTTGACATCACGCAAATGAATCCCCGACTTACATCCAGACCTTTGTACCACGCTCTCGAATAAACATTTGGAGTAATGGAATGTAACCACCGCCCAAGAGAGTTACTTGTCCAATCGTTTTGCCAACTTAGAAGAGAACTCTGACGTACTAATGGGAAAAAAAACATCAAGTTAAATTCTTCTATCATTATTGCTTCAATGGGTTTAATGAACTTACGGGAATCACTAATATCGCCTATCGATTTTATCCGTTTGTTGATGATTTGGTGAGCCCAGTGTAAATAATGGCGGTTCACTTCATAATCAATGTTTGGAGCCGTTTTAGCTCTAATGCAACTTCATGCAGAAAAACACCGTTTAAACACTTAACACTAGCACATAATAATTTATTCAAACTGAACTTAGACCACACAACTAGCACATTTATTAAATAGTAGTTTTACTTAAAATTAAGGCAATACAAAATCACATAGTGATGTTTCACTTTCCTTGATCTTCGACCGTCTTCGATGCGAATAGTAGTAGCACTGATCTGTTGTAGCTACGATGAGGATTCTATGACCTGCTGGGTGTTCATTGGTGTCGGGTGTCCATCGCCGTTCTCACTCTCCTTATCAGATCAACATTTGTAGTGGTAGAACGTTCACTGAGCATGCCGTAGGTATTGAAAGTAGTGGTCACTCATCAATCCATTCTTTCTCCCGTATGACTCGCTGTGTCACGTCGATCAAGTACTGCTATCCAGGACAATTTGCATATTACATGCAAACATCCTGCCTCCCTCAGAAATAACCATTTCTGCAGATTGCTGCTAATGTTGTTGTGACGACTGTTGGTGATGCTGATGAAGACTGCTCCTGGCTGGCCTTGCGGTATATAATCCCTCAGTTAGAATGGTGAGATGATACATGTGAAGAAAAGACCCGGTAGATCCGGAGAAAATAGCTGGACAGATTGGACAGGTCCTTACCTTGGACCCAAGGATATTGGGCCTTGTATTTATTTGTTCTCTCCGGATGATGATGTGCCAACATTGATGCTTGCGATAGCCGCACCGCCGTTAGATCCTTTGTCGTCATAGAGTGAAGATGCTACCGGTAGAAAGGAAAGTTTTGCGACAGGACGAGTGATGAACCCACGTGGTGTTTGAAGTGTAACAACACGCACAATACCGTCCTTGCCGGGGTGAAGTTCGTGGATCCTGCCAGTCGGCCATTGCATTGATGGTAGATTCTCCTCCTTGATGATCACAAGACGATTCTTCTCTATTTTTACCGGAGGATTGCACCACTTGGCTCTGAGCTGCCATCGATTCCAAATTTTCTGGAACATCTTCTGCGTCTGCTGCCACTGAGTCAACCGATTGTACGGGACCGAATCGAGGTTGACGTCCGGAACAGCCTTCAATGTCGAGCCCACAAGGAAATGACCCGAGGTAAGAGGATCGAGGTCAGAAGGGTCGTCGCTTAATGAAGTGAGTGGACGGGAGTTTAGACAACATTCAATTTGAGCTAGAAATTGTCTCCATATCATCGTACGCCAACACTCGAGAACCTAGTACCCGAGTAAAATACTTCTGAGCTGATTTGATCGCCACCTCCCAAAGTCCGCCAAAGTGAGATCCTTTGGGAGGATTAAAGTGCCAACGGATTCCGTTTTCCGTACACTCTCGAGCTACCTGGTCATTTGTGTTCCTTGCTTCTCAAAAGCCGCTTCAGCTCATTCGCTGCACCCACAAAATTCTTCCCATTGTCTGAGTAGGCGTAGGCGTCTGAGCACAGCCCACGGCGTGCCACAAACCGCCGGAAAGCTTGCAGGAACTTGGCAGTAGTCAAATTCACAACCGCTTTCGTCGCAGAACATACGAACACAGCTACGTATGCTTTGATCGGTGGCATCGGTGCATCGCGCCTGTGCCGTGGTTGGATGTAGATTGGTTCCCAAAAGTCTATTCCAACTTTAGAGAAGGGTCGTGATGCAGTCACACGAGCAGCCGGAAGCTCGGACATGAACTGTTCGATGAGCTTAGGTCGTGCGCGTACACAGGTGACGCATTTGTGTACGATCTGCCGAGCCACACTTCTTCCGCCCAAGAGCCAGTAACGGATTCGAATCGTATTGACCATCAGTTGAGGAGCAGCATGTAGTAGTTTCTGATGTACGATAGCAAGAGCAATGTCGACAAAGAGTGAGAGCCTGACAGCAGGATTGGTTGCTTGAAGTCTTCATGTTGTGTTGACTGGCCCAGACGACCACTGATCCGGATGATTCTATCGCTGGGAAAGATCATTGGATGGAACCATTTCAGTCGAGAGCTTTTCGAAATTGACGTTTCCGCTTCCATTCGCTCCAATCGCTTCCGTTCTCCAATCGCTTCCATTCATCCGAAAAGCATTGTTGCTGCAGTAATCGTATGAGTGCGTGTTCAGCAGATTTTAGTTCATCAGTCGTGAGGAAGATGAATATCCGATCTTCCTTTCGTATTAGCAAAAATGAAAAGAAGCGTCGCCAGTAAGCAGTAATTTGTACCATTTTCGAGTAGTTGGAGAATTTAGCAACGTATTCATCGATGTCATCGATGTTGCAATTATCAGTCGATCCGCACTGCTGTCCAGGAACAGGCCAATACTCTTTTTCTTTCTGCAACCATTCTGGACCTCTCCACCAGAGTGTGTTGTAGATGATATCTGACGCCAAGCAACCACGAGATATCACGTCAGCCGGGTTTTCCAGTCCTGCGATGTGTTTCCAAGTACAATGCTGCCTTGCATGCTGAATCTTGGACACCCTGTTGGCAACACAAGTAGTCCAAGTGGACGGAGTGACCTCGAGCCAATTGATGACTGTCGTGGAATCAGTCCAGTAGATAGTAGAGAACGTCATCTGAAGAGAAGCGGCGATTCGTAGATATAACTCGGCGAAGAGTAGAGCTCCAAACAATTCGAGCCTGGGTGTGCTTTGTTTTTTCAAAGGTGCGATTCTGGACTTCGACGTCAGAAGAGCGATTTTGATTTGTCCATAGTTGTCGATTGACCTCAAGTAGGCACAGGTGCCGTATCCGATGTCGGAAGCATCCGAGAACAGGTGAAGTACAATCTCGACTGATTTCGGGAGAAGAACAAAGCGATCAATTCTCAATTCGTTAAGCGCAGGAAGATTGGAGTGATCGTTGATCCATTTATCCCGAAGACTTGATATAAGCTCTCGATCCCACTCCCAAACCGTTCCATTTTCGTATCTGAGTGTCCACAGTGTTTGCATGAACGCCTTGGCCATTACGACGACTGGACCGACAAGTCCCAAAGGATCGAAGAGCTGGGCAATGTAGGACAGCGTTAGACGTTTCGTGAGTACGGCGTTTGGTGGTAGAAGTAGAACGATTTTGTACTTGAGACGATCGGATGCTGGTTCCCAGTGCAAAACGAGCGTTTTGATCGTTTGATCACGATCGAGATCGATGGAATGCTGAAGAGCACGGTTTTCATGCGGGACGCCCTCTAGAACGGTCTCACAGTTTGATGCCCATTTTCTTAGCTGGAAGCCTCCCCGGGAAAGCATGGCGTCGAGTTGCTCCGGAAGCTTGATTGCTTCTGCTACGGTTGCTGCTCCAGAAAATAAGTCATCGGCATAAAAATCCTTCTCGACGACCTTTGCTGCTATTGGGAAATTATCGGCCTCGTCACTAGCTAGCTGCTTTAGGACACGTGTCGCCAAATAAGGAGCCGATGCAGTCCCGTGCGTGACGGTCTTGAGAACGAAAGTTTGTAGTGGTTGGTCCGTAATACTTGGCGATACATTTTTTCGGCGTCTGGAATTAGGATGACTTGTGGGTTCGGGAACGCATAACAATCGATCGCAAATCGTCCTGTACGACCGGACCGACAAGAAGAGCGTCGTTGAGTGAAATTCCCGAGCTCGTCTTGCTAGACGCATCGAAAACGACGCGTAGCTTCGTGGTCGTGCTGCTCTCTTTAATCACTGGATGATGTGGTAAATAGTACTTCGGATGAAGCTCATCTCCGAAGTCACTGAGTGGTGCCATGTGGCCAAGTTGCGCATACTCAGCCATGAAATCCCGATACTGCTGAGCGATCGAAGCATTACGAGGCAGCCGATTCTCCAACAAGCGAAAACGATGCAGAGGCGATTTCTTGTTGTCACCCAACCGCTGAGTTACAGTTTCTTTGAAAGGGAGTCTCACCATGTATCGACCCGACGAATCACGTGCAACAGTACGCTGAAAGAACTCTTCGCAGGCAGTTTCGTTCGGGGAGTAATTCGTAGCAGATGGGTCTTCCTCAATTTTCCAGAACTTCTCCATGTCGTTGTGTAGTTCGGCTATCGTTGCAACATTGCAGCGAACTGACCTTTCTGGATAGCCCTGAGAAGTTTTTCCTGATACCACCCAGCCAAATACCGAGTTGGTGAGCGACGGAAGAGAATCTCCAAGCAAAATGCGTCCTGGAACAGAGAGTAGATCGAAGAATATTTCTGCCCCCAACACGATATCGATAGTGCTCGTTTTGAAAAAAGCCAGGATCGGCAAGAAATGCTCCAATGATCGATGTCCAAGTTGACCGATGGCAGATCAATAGTGACCTTGGGCAGAATAAGCAAATCGACGCAGGTAAAGTAATTCGAATTTCGGGATTTGATGACGGCTCGAAATTGGTGCTTCACATTAGCAGAGGACTTTCCTATTCCAGATATCGGCACATTGACTCTCCTTCGTGTAACAGTCATCGCCTGAGATAACTGTGTAGTGGCGAAGCAACATTCGCTCCCAGAATCCAGTAGAGCTCGTGCGAAATGTTGTGACATGTGAAATTTATATTGTCTTGGTTTGCGTCTCACCACGTTTAACAGATCTGGTCGCCCGTTTGACAGATCGAACTGCTCATTTGACAAATTGAATTGCGGACAAACGAAACGCTATGTGTCCGACACATAGATATCATTTGTTGATCACATTGTAAAAATTCATGAGTGGGACACATAAAAACAATATTTGAAATTTTATTAGTGCAGGAACCGAAATTTGCATGATTTTTTTCGTAGTGTGCAGAGCGAGAGCTTCCTGGTAAATAAATCGATTTTGTTTTTCGCTCTCCAATTTCTATGAAAGTTCGAATATTTTTTTGGCATTTCGTGCTGTGATTTATTGGAAAATAACGAATATACCATTTTAAAAAAATAGTCGAGAGCGAGGTCGTGAGTCAAAATGGCGAAATACCAGCACAACTTATTGGTTCATTGCCTCTTGCGAGCGAAATTTCACGGAATTCTTAGAGATAAAATCAAAAATGTTTATTTTTTCGGTTTTTGCACTCTTAGAAAAATTCTTGTACATACTTAAAAGTAACTATTTTTACACGAGACGTAATCCATCTTTGACGTAAATTATGGAACGTAAACAAACATGTCATGTTAAATTAAGTGTTCCCATACCGAAACATACACTCAAAGATAAATGAAATCAAAAAAGCTTAAAAAGTATGCAGATTCCCGCTTCACCTTATTGAGTCCGAGCCATGATTACTTCGGCAGTAGTCATGCATGATTAAAATCGAAATAATCTTTCCAGTTTTAAATTTTATTCTTTGCCAGTACTGATATATAATCAAACAAGATTTAAATTCAATCAAAAATGATTAAAATAGAATAAAAAATGATTAAAATTTATTCAAAAAAAGATAATCTACAATCTAATCAACCATGATTAAACTAGGATTAATATCAGATGCTTATTTTTTAGAAAGAGGGGATTAATTTTTAATCATTTGATATGATTAAACCACCTACAAACAGACATAACACTCACAATCACATTCAGCGTCAATTTTGTCATAAAGTTGAGTCATAACAGATGCCAAAAATTGCTTAATCAAACGTACTTTTCGTCGAGCAACGAACTTTTCAGTCTGGGAGCACTTAATATGACATGACATGTTTGTTTACGTCTAATTTTTTATGTCAATGTTGGATTCCGTCACATTTTAAATTAGTTATTACTAATCGTGTGGGCTGGAACTGGTCAGACGAGTTATAGAGAGGATAGAATCGTCCAAATCTAAAAGTACATCTTGAAGCAAAAGCAGAACTGCTGTATAGTATTTCAGAAGAATTAAATCTTTTCATCATGACATCATCATGTCAAAATTCCCTGAACTCGACTAAAGCATGTTCATCAAGCATAAAGCATGAATAATCGAATTAGTCAAGGTTGCTCATTAGTGTGAACAGAGCCGTGTTTCACCCCGCAACCCATAATGTCATGTCGCGGTAGTTATCCTCATCCATTAGTTCAATAGTTCCAACAACTCTAAAACCGAGCACAAAGTGTGATGATTAGCACGAGCCATTTCAACTCGTCTCGCTTGACTTTGTCGTTAGAAATTTATGACAGCAGGGTGTGATTATTAATGTTAATGAGTTGAAAAAGCTTTTCCATTTCCAGCCTCCCTACAGTCCCACTTTCTCTGTCCCATCGTTCATACTTTCCTTCATCGTCTGACGATGATGATGATGCTGATGACGATACTGTTGGTGGTGACTTTGTAGCCATCCGAAGCAGTGCCATCACAACAACCCAATAATGTTATGTTTAATCAAATTCTGTGGCTTTTGAAGCTTTGTCACTATGTTCCATCACCACTCAGGGCCGGAACACGATAATAAGCTTCGCGTTGTGGTTTTGATCCAAATGCGATATCTTTCTCACTCTCTCGCACACAGGCACACTCATGTATGTTTCATGACGTGTGGTTGTACTGAATTATTGCAAGTTTTATCGAGGTTTTAGAACCCTCATAAAACCAAAATTGTTTCTTGGCTGCTCTCAGCTGGATGTTGACGGTTTAAAGTCTTCGAATCTTGCAATATTTATTACACATCTTTATTTAAGCTGGTGAAATTTTGTCGGACATGACTTTCAGGTAATCCATTCCCTCGACAGCAATGAATATAACTCAATCAAAAACCTCGGTACCAGCATGAACTCGTTACGCAAACTCTTCTCTAATGTTAATTTGACCATTCCTTTACTGTCCACTTTTTTATGAATAGTCGCTTGGGGACACTTTTCAGCTTTGTCCTCCCCGAACGAAACGAGGCGATAAGGAAAACATGTCCGCTGGAGACAGAAAAAGAACAAATGTGAAAATGAGGGAATCACGGTTTTTTTTTCTCTGCTCTGCGGCAAGAGCAGCTAAGGGAGCAAGGATAAGCGAAAAACTCGTACCCTAGTTGTAACCATCAACCCACAGCAGAAAGAAGAGAAAACATCAGCGCATTTAATCAGCGTAAATTGTCACCTCGGTTCGTGCGGTTAGTAAACATTACATGGCACACTGAATTTGGTCAAAAAGCAATGGCCATCCATACAAGGACTAATGAACATCCCGGTGAGACTAAAATTTAAGTGAAAATAGTCATCTGTGTTGTAAAATTTAACTTATTGGTCTCACAACGGAATGTCGAATGCTGAGCTCCATTGTCGATGTCACTAGAAGCCAAAATGAAGTCACTTGAACTAACAAATGGCCACCGAAATCACACTGTGTGAAGTTCCCAGCATTATTCCAGCGAGACTCCTCTCATGCATGTGCAAAACGGTTAAACGAGTATTCAGTTATCGCAAGTCACGACAATTAGGTATTTATACCGTGCAGCAGCCCTTTCCCCTCCTCCATTGTAATCACACAATTACATCGAGTAAATGAGCACATTCCCAGCGAACGCGCGGTGGACAAACACTCAAAACCCGTAAGTTTTTGCGCTCTGCATTAAATGCTCATTTGAATAAATTTCCAATCCCATTCTGCTCCTGTTCACGAATTCCCCAGTTGACCGTCCTCATCGTCGTTCGTGCTACAGCTCGACGGGTGGACATATCATCCTGCAGCATGTTTGTTTTTCTTTTTCTGCCACCACAACAGTCGCTAGTCCTAGTAGGTAGTGGTCCCATTTCGCTCGCTTTCGTGATGGTGCCTAGTCTGTCGGTCGCTGCGGATGGGAGAAAATGTAAAAATAGCTAATTTAAGGATTTTATTTGCTTTTAATTCTTGCCTCAGTTTATGTTTAATACATTTAGATAGCCGTGGCGCGAACGACGAGCATGGGAATCTCATTTGCACTTTTCTAATTTTTTTGGATGGTTTCGAGTTTTGGGAGACGTTGGACGCTTATTTTCATCTGAAATGCGGCTTTTGCAATTTCATGAGAAACGTTTCATCTGGATTTGTGGATTTTAGTACGGGGAACCGACGAGGAAAGGAATGAATTAAACATGAATCTTTTTGATTTCCAGACGCCCGTTGGCAGAACCTAAACAATAACAATCCATCCTTAAAGCGATAGGCAGGTCAACGATTCAAGAAGTGCAGCTCTAAGCTCTAGTCTTCAAGACAGGCTGGGGATTTTGAACGAAAATGTAATTGGAAAATAAATCGTTCTGTATGTTGGGAGACGTTGAGGAACACTGAGATTATCGCGATTGGCAAATCAAAGTTGGTACTCGAGGAGAATAGAAGAATTATTAAAGTGATGATGGTTTCAAAATTTTACACGGTGAGGCATACGAGTTCAATCTTAAAATGCTTAATGCTTAAGAGTTTCGAAAAATTTAAAGGATTAATCATGGCTTCCAAGCTTTCACAACCTAATAGGTACATATCACTAAAGAAATCCATCGTAGGTTTAAGGAAAGACATAGCATTTCTTAAGAAATGCCGAAAATTAAATCTAACACCTATCAGTCATAAAATTAAGGTTAAGACACCAACTCCCTTAAAAGTAGTTCGTAAGATGGAGTCAGAATTTATAAAAGCGAGCATTCAGAGTCTCTACTCAAAGTTGGAAACAAAGTCGTTGGAATGTTATTCCCTGCATTTGAAATTGGCCAAAGAATTCACAATTGAATTTCCACTGTTTTTGACTAAAGTAAAAGTATTGGAGGACTGCGAGGAAAAAAGGAAAAGAAAGTTACATAACAACAAACTGAGGTCCCTACAATACTATTTGAATTACACAACACAACAGATAGACCAGAAATCACACAGTTCAGTTAACACAGCTGTGGTTCAATCCGTCGAAGGTTTTGTGGTGAATCGCTCGACGCAGCAGTTCTCAGAAGAACAATTGACACTTCTCAACAAGGGATGAGGGTATGCGATCTCCTCAAAACCTGACGTGGAAAAGACCATCGTTGACATGGAGACTGCAATCACTCACACACTTCCTATTCAATTACACGAGACTGCCAGGAATATTATTTCAAAGACAATACAAAACGGAAAGGGACATTCACTTAATAAAACCGAA